TTTTTCTTACAATGTACCTGTTATTTTTATAAATTTTGCTATTATTTACCTACTTAAAATTTTCTTAGATTAAGGGGCCATTAGAATAATTCTAATGCTGCGCGTACTAGTGGCTTTACAAGATTGTAATTACTATGCTATGTATCTTCACAATTCCAATGTACCTTCTTGTATATAAATAAATAAATAATAAGATATTTTAGTTAGTCATCAATATAGAATTCATTTTCTTTAAACTAGAAATATATTGTAGCATAGACTTAACTAATTTTGACGAGGGAGGGGTTGAAGGGGTTGAACAAGCAGCCTGTGTTATAACTCAATTTATTGTCTCGGGGGGGGGGGGGACAGGCTGCCTGTGCATATATATATATATATACGTTTTAGTTTTATGCCAAGCTCCTCCCCCCCCCCCAGGGTGTAATTACCGACCTTCCCTAGTATACAACCCCACAGCACTACACAGCCCCACTCCTGTGCCAGGTAAGTCCACTACGGGCTCACCATAGCCCGTGCTACATGCCCCGCTCCTGTGCCAGGTAAGTCCACTACGGGCTCACCATAGCCCGTGCTACATGCCCCGCTCCTGTGCCAGGTAAGTCCACTACGGGCTCACCATAGCCCGTGCTACATGCCCCGCTCCTGTGCCAGGTAAGTCCACTACGGGCTCACCATAGCCCATGCTACTTGCCCCGCTCCTGTGCCAGGTAAGTCCACTACGGGCTCATCATAACCCGTGCTACTTGCCCCCGCTCCTGTGCCAGGTAAGTCCACTACGGGCTCACCATAGCCCGTGCTACTTGCCCCGCTCCTGTGCCAGGTAAGTCCACTACGGGCTCATCATAACCCGTGCTACTTGCCCCGCTCCTGTGCCAGGTAAGTCCACTACGGGCTCACCATAGCCCGTGCTACTTGGAACTTGTTCCGAGTAGCTGAATCTATAACAACAACAGCCCACAATACTTGACTTAACTCCTGGGTAGTGCCGGTTCGTGAAAAAAAATAGAATGAAGGAACTGCGTCACTGCAAGCTTCACACAACAGTATAATAATGATAATTAAAAGAAAATTAAAGAAATAATTAAAGGAAATACATTAATAAACACACCTTATACGTGCTGTAGGGGTCGTCATTGTCAGGTTGGTGGAGGGATGGATGGTTGAGCTGGGGGCGTTAATATATATATTACTTGAAAATCAGGGAGTCTGCGCTTAAATGTAGCAAAATGGTGCATTACATTGTCATTAAAAGCCTTCATTTCTGTTATTATATTTTCAATAGATATCATTGCTAGAGCAGACAGGCTGTCATTAACCTTGGGACTGCGCAAAAATTGGTTTCTCTTCAAAGTTGAAAAGCACTTTTCTGCTTCTGCTATTGTCATTGGCGTTGTTATTAACATTTTCAGTGGCTTCACGTACAGTTTATGAAAATATTGACTGCAAATGATGGTCGTTCATCATCTCCAACAGGTCTAACAGCTTTTCTGATTTCCTCAAGTTTTCTCTTGTGTACAGTACAATATGTTCCGTTCTCTGTCTTTTTTTCAAGCATGGGACAGACTGCAACTGTCTGTACAAGTGCATTACTGGGGGATAATCTTTGGTATACACTAGAAACTTATTCATTAAACGTAACTTGCTAGTTTCCACATGATTGGTGAACTTGAACCTCGCTAGTTCTGTATTACAACAAAATTACATCACAAGGCCTTTGTAGCAATGTTAACTTTACCCCGAATTGATGAGTCCCCACCAAACACAAGCCAAATAAAGCAGTTTCACAGCAACAAAAGTAATTCACATTTCTGATACACACTGATGTTAATTAAACTGGAGTGTAGACTCCTTCCTCCTGCTGGTACTTCTCTGGTACAACTGACAAAATTGGTGTGTCACTTAACAGGCTAACTGGGAGTCACTTAACAGGCCAACTGGGAGTTACTTAACAGGCCAACTGGGAGTCACTTAACAGGCCAACTGGGAGTCACTTAACAGGCCAACTGGGAGTCACTTAACAGGCCAACTGGGAGTTACTTAACAGGCCAACTGGGAGTCACTTAACAGGCCAACTGGGAGTCACTTAACAGGCCAACTGGGAGTCACTTAACAGGCCAACTGGGAGGGAAGGGGGGAACTCTGACAAGCCACCAGCTTCCTGTCCTCGTCGAGGCCACTAATAATGGTAACCCTCAGGTAAATTCAGGTAAATATCCTTTGTTTTTACTTCTATTTTCCAATTATTTACTTCTATTTTCCATTTACTGCCAGTTGCAAAAAGTTGATACTGCGTAAATACTTCACAGAGTTCACTTTACTTTCCATTGTTATTGCCAATGGGATAATTAAACTTATAAACTATTGCAAATCATTTAAGCACCAGTAGCAACACGTGACACCTGCCTCGACGTAAACATTAACACGTGACCCAGCTGCCCCGAATGCAGCTCAACGTTGCCAGATGTAGCGCCTACACTTTCGTACAGTAAATCCTACAGTCTTGCAGCTCAAAACCCTCTATTTTTTCTCTCATTTTAATGCAAATTTACAAAATTCAGTTATATATATATTGAAAATAACATACAAAGACTTTTTTGTTTTAACATTTGTTAGTGGCTAATTATTCTATTGAGGTTGATCGTCGTACACCTGGCAGATAGTGTCTTTCGGAAAGGGGGGGGGGGGGGGAACTGCGGCTCAGCAGCTCCTATGCGGGAGTAGCTGCTGCTCCCAGGCACATATTTACTACATAGGTGAACAGACGCATAAGGTAATTGGGAATCGTTCCCAACCATTTCTGTCCCGTTCGGGATTCTAGATCGAGTCGAAAACGAACCCGACAACTGTATTTTTTAACTATTCTATCTCTGGTCAGGACAGAAATTTATTATAACTACCTGAGAAGGTTGTTTTAAATCAGAGGTAACGCATAAAGTTTCGGGCATAACTTAAGTTATTGCTATAAATGTTATTAGGTAGTCAAGAGCGTGGCTCTACCCGTGGTCACCCATCCAGTTACTGAACGTACTGTTCATACGTGGCGAGTGGTAGTTTTACTATTGTGGTTAATAAACTTAGGTATACACAGCAATGTGCTGCTACCCTATTTTATATGTACCCGCAGGCCACACTATCTTTAGTGGTCTTTGAGAATAGGAAGCCGGCAGCTTGTCAAAGCCCCCCCCCCCCCCCCCCATTTGTCCAGATAGGTTTTTTGCATTTACAGCTTGAGCGGGTAGGCGGTCCCAAAGAGTGTATAACCTAAGTTTTATTTAAAAAAAAAAAAAATCCCGAATTGATGCAAGTACCTTGTGGAGCTTGAAACCATTCCTCCTGGTTAGTGTTAAATCATGTCTGGTTTAGTGTTAGCATGTGTGGCCCTCAACCATTCCTGGCGAGTCGACATTACATTGTAGATCAAAGGTATACGCTAGCTATATACGTTCATCTAATATTCACATTTCACAGGGTAGTTAGGCATACGTGGAATCAGAACATGAAATGTGTGCCTGATTTATTAGTCACCACTATCACACACAGTGTAGAGTACAAGAATATCTTCCAAATATTCGTTATTAATGTAATTATAGCTCAAAGTATCTCGTACCATTTGGCCTGAAATCATTTATAACAGGGCAATCACAAATAGTGTTAAGAGACAAACGTCCTAGCTCATGTCCACAGTTTAGTTGGAATGTTCACCACTGGGGAATTCATTACCTGTAGCCACCTGCCATAGTATCCCAACCTAATTCTGGCAATTGCTATGTCACACTGTCTGCTAACTCCACTAGTGACAGGGATGATATAGCACACTTAAGAAATGCCTTCCATAACGAAAATGCAGAGAAAGCGTGGATTGAGATCTATGCCTCCTCAATGCATGCAGAACTTGCTGCCATTGTTATGGCATTACGATATCTAGGATAGCACAAGGGAAGCAGTGTTCTGCAGTCAAGAGCAGCACCAAAGGCTCAGAAAGTAAAGCAGAAAACAGGGATAGTAGCTGAAAATCAAGATGGTGAATAATGCAAGAGCATTATTCACCATCTTTGTATTATTCATGCAAACAAGATGATGTAGAGCCAGGGAAGGATGATCCAAGCTTCTATGGATTGCCTCTCACATTTCTGGAAACAAACTAGTTGATGCTCTGGCTTGCTGAGGGTGCTCAAAGATACCATATTGAATACTATATTCCGAAGACCCTTTCACAAATCAGGGACATCAAACACCACCACCATGACACCGTAGCGAAGGGAAGTATAGAAGTGCAAATCAGTGAATATGAATGCTGGTACAATGATGTAGAGGCCGACCACACCTCATTCATTATAGATGAAAAGCTGACCGAAAGAGCGAATCTGTAATTACAAGTTTATATTATGTTTACATATACTAACAACTTCAACTCTCGTCTAAAAGTCAGGGAGTTCAACGATTCCATTATAACACCCCCAAAAGTTCACCTATTAGCTCAAGAGGACCTACCAACATTTTGCTAAGCCAAGAAAAAACTAAGAAATTTCAAGGAAACCAGATCATTTACATTGCTTACATTGTACTTACAGTAAGATGTACTTACATTGGACTGCAAGTCCAATGTAAGTACTGTAAGTCTCAAAAGAAGGCAGCAAGCCAGGAAGGCTATGTAGCACCATTAGACTGCAAGATATAAGTGGTTATGGAATCTATCAAGCCAGGTCAAACTGGACCATAAGGAATGTGACATCTATGAACAAAAAAACACTTCTACTTTATGGTTGCACGCATTCAAAAACATTGCTCCAATGTATTTACACCATCAATTACATTTGCTAAAACAGTGACAAAAATCTGAAATCCCTGGAAATGTAAAGTTGCCAGAAGTACAGGTTTACAAATAAGTAACATCAAATTAAACATAACATTGTAGCAAATTCAAAACGATAACTAATCAATTCATCTTTAATGCATAGGATACTCTTACTTAACATTGTAAATAAGGCTTTTAAAACACATTTACACAACTAAAACTTTATTATGAGGACAATTAAATGCAGATTATTGACCTGCATAAAATTTAAAATTTAATGATTGGGAACAAATTGGTCCCTCAATGAACGTCATGACCACAAGGCATTAAATAGCCTTGATAAGCATTCTGATCTTTGGTGATAATGAGAAGGACGAATGTGTGATGTGATATATAGTGACATTTCATCAGATCTCATTTCCCACAAACTCAAAATGCCAACATAAAAATCCTCTCAAGCAAATGCAAGAAATAATTCCAAATTATCCATTTTGTACTCTGAGAAAATGGTATTAAATTTGAAACACCTACTCTAACACCATACAGACACTTATAAAAAGAAACGATTATTTGACCTCATCCACCATACCCCTACAGACCCTTTGCCTAGTTTCTACTCGAGAAGCCTTTACCGATGTAAATACATAGAAAAATAGGTACTTTTAAGCTATTTGGAAGTACAAAGACATTTAGGCATAACTGAAGGACAAACACTTAGGGCATACATGAGCTGCTCAACACTTCTGAGCTTCGGAGAAATATTCCATTTTCACGCCAGTTTCGGATAGATTATACAGTAACAGATGTATTCCAAGATGGATAGTTTTAGTCCATCTTTAATGGCAGCCAATGTCGGGGTGTGGTGATGGTCCTTTACTAAAATATTTACTCTGCCTCTTCAGCAGATTCTTCAGATGCATCTTCCTTGGGTGCATTCTTGGCAGGACGCCCACGCTTTCCCTGGAAAAGAAATTACAATAACTGTAAAATCTAAACGTTTCAATCACCCGAGCAACACGACCTACCAGGCCAACATACTTTAATAACAGGATTATGCAAAGCATACAGAACATGCAATGATCTATCTAGCCAAGCACGCAATTTTTTTTTTTGTGTATTGTGATTGAAATTTGCTAGCAGCCAGTTTTGGGGAGTACGTTAGCAGCTTGGCTCTTCTATCTTAAAAGGCAATTTTTGGTAGCCATCTTCAGGATCACAGCCATCAACCCCACTGACAAGACTTCAGCCTTAGTACCCAATTCTAAAAAAAATTTAAAGAAAAATTATGGGAGGGTTAGGAGCAAGACTTGCATTAGATATACCAAGCAGCCGTATTTTAAAAGCCATTCAGATTTGTAGATATTTACTAGAGGCTGACAACTTTTCAACAGTGAAATCTGAAGAATATTCAACCAAACTTTGGATGGTAATGATTTACCTACTATATACTTTTAATCCAATATCACTGCTCTTGCAACATAAATTATTTGGTTTCATTGCACAGCTTCCTACAGTACTATTTACAACTGCAGCTACTGGGAATGTAAATAAAAATGAACTACAGTATTACTATTGGTTCTAAAAGTAATTGCTAAAACCATTAGTTTATGAAAAAGCTAACATTCACAGAATGGGTGGTTAGGATTTCAGAAGTTTGGTGTTGGTAGATATGACAATTTATTTTACAGTAAATAGAAATTTTTTTTAATGCATTTAATTCAAACAAAGGTGGGTCATTCCATGTTCCCCTCACCCAGGTGGTTTCCAGTACCTTCTCCAATTTTTATGCAATTTGGAACACACATTTCAGTGTTTAACAACGTCCAGAGATACGAGATTATGAATTTTGCCAAAGATAAATTTTCCAAAGTCCTATGTTATTTCAAATGTTCATTCAAATACCATTTTAAAGGTACAGTATTGATTGGCTCTCCCAACTATTATGCTATGCACATTTTAGATCAGGGTTCAGATAAAATTTACCTTTAAATTAATCATTGACCTTTAAAAGGTCATTTTGACAACCTGGATTTTGTTCAAACAATTTGTGTTAAATGTGTATAGTAGTACAAAATAAATATTCTGGGGTATTCCCTTAGTTTAAAAGATATTCATTTTAATAGACCATTAGCTTCAAAACGAGCCCAACATGAAGGTTCCACTGCAATTAGGAGTGATTCCAATGAAAAATCACAAAAGTTCCAATGCAATTTGTGGTTTTCAAGCATAAATTATGTATTTATTACATTGGCAACCCTACTGTATGAATATCATACATGATTGAGTTAAAATTTTGCATATGTTACTGCATGTACTCTAACATCCTACCAATTTCATGTAAATCTGAGATTTACTCAGATTCTCACAATTTATTCAGTGCCATAATGATTTGGCAAGCAATGACCCAGTATCACAATATACTGTTGGTATGAACATTTTGGCAAAATAAATAAAAACCATCATCAAGACGACTGTCGCAATCGACTGTGATAATGTTGCGATTATCACAATCGACTTAATAATGGTCCAGGACGGACGGAAACGACCTCGTTTCTTCAATTTCTAGTGTGTGGTTTGGTCAACATTTTTCAGCCACGTTACTGTGACTTCATCTGCAACTATAAGTGCTACTATTACACACATGGAAAGATAAGCATAATTCTAATTTGATACATATCAAAGTGAACAGAAACTTGTCAAAATGATACCCAGTATACTATAATTTCTCTAATTGTTGAATTTTGAACTGTATTATCTTAGTCTGAAAGAAATTGAATGCCTAGCAAAATGTTCGTTTCCTTTGCACAGCTCCTTCCACTCAAGTTACTACTTTGCATAATGTTGACTACATGATATTTTGCTTTTATTGGTATCTTCTATTTGGTAAGTAGCTTATTCATTTCAGTAAGCTCATACTGATCAACTGCATTATCTTCTGTATATTCAGCCTCAAATGCTGCTACACTATCTTCTATGGTTTCAGTCTTGGATTCTCCACCGAGTATTGCAGATCGAGATTTTGCCAACTTCTTTTGACAGTTTTTACATATCTTGAGATCTTGAGATGATTTCGGGGCTTTAGTGTCCCCGCGGCCCGGTCCTCGACCAGGCCTCCACCCCCAGGAAGCAGCCCGTGACAGCTGACTAACTCCCAGGTACCTATTTACTGCTAGGTAACAGGGGCATTCAGGGTGAAAGAAACTTTGCCCATTTGTTTCTGCCTCGTGCGGGAATTGAACCCGCGCCACAGAATTACGAGTCATGCGCGTTATCCACCAGGCTACGAGGCCCCTCACACTTTATAATTTGACAAGAGTTTAAGTGATGGATTTCTATCCATCAGATCTGTAGTTAAGAGATGAATGTCTTTAAAGATGCTTCCTTGTGTTTTGCAAGTCACAAATAGCATCCAAGATTAAGGAATTTCAAATTCTGGAACATTTTGTTGACCAGAAAATATATATTGATAAAAATACACTATTTTTTTTTTTTTTTTTTTGAGATATATACAAGAGTTGTTACATTCTTGTACAGCCACTAGTACGCGTAGCGTTTCGGGCAAGTCCTTAATCCTATGGTCCCTGGAATACGATCCCCTGCCGCGAAGAATCGTTTTTTCATCCAAGTACACATTTTACTGTTGCGTTAAACAGAGGCTACAGTTAAGGAATTGCGCCCAGTAAATCCTCCCCGGCCAGGATACGAACCCATGACATAGCGCTCGCGGAACGCCAGGCGAGTGTCTTACCACTACACCACGGAGACTGCTTCTTACCACTACACCACGGAGACTGCTATTGGACTATTGGAACACTAGAGAATGTGTTTATGTACAGTATATAGTAAAAAGAATATGAAATTGATGAAAAATAAAACTCATCTCACCACTTGGACCTCAGCTGGTTCCAGAGCTATGGCTGTTTCAAGATTGGCTATACACTCAATGTCAAGGTTCTCAACTAAGCATGTATGTACATTAAAATGTAAATAATAAATAATTCATACTGTAATGTACATTACAGTATGAATAGCTCCTAAACTAAGGGAATACCCTGAGAAGAATTATGTTAAATACTAACACACACATTTATACCAATTAATAATTAGTTTGAGGTCAAAAGGTTAGTTTAAAGGTCAACTTTGATTTTTTAGTTGAACACCAATCTAAAATATGCATAGATTAAACATCTGAGACCTCACTCCATGGTTTTAAAATGGTATTTGTATGAACTCTGGGGCCATAGAAGTTGAGATACATCCTATTGAAATAATTGGATGTATCCTATTTCATTTACTTTCTTTCTCAGAAGTCATTTACTTTCTCTCAGGATCTACAAGTATTGTACCAAATTGCATAAAAATCTACATGCCAGAAATTTGCCTAAAATCTGGGTGAAGCAACATGGAATAACTTAATAAATTTTATACTACAGTATATAAATTAAAAATTAAAGCACCCAAAAAAAAAATAATTTTGCTTACAGATATGATAATGCTGTAAGTTTAGAACATACCGATCCTTTCCCTGTAGCACCTTTCTTTCCTTTGTTTTTGCTGCCCTTTGGGCGCCCTCGGCCCCTCTTGGCAGTGCTGCCACTATCAGCTTCAGTGGACTTGCGTTTAGGAGCCACCTTCTCACTCTCGGGCTTTGGTGGACGTCCACGTTTACGCTTGGGGCTATCGACTGGGGTGTCTTCTGCCATCGTTTATAATCTAGAAATAAAAAGATAATGAAAGTACTGCAATGCAAATAAGCACCAAACTTTTAAAATGTTCATGATCTTAACATGTCAGAATTCAGCATTTTGTTTTCAAACTTAACAAGCATCTGAGAAAGGCAGAAAGTGGGTTTAAACCATAAAACCAAATTTAGGTGATGTATGCTTCCCATAATGGCAATTTAAAGAGTAATGGTAGCATGACATGACAGTTGCAATAATGGTGATGGTATTTATGATTGGAGATGGTAGTGGTTTACTGCCGTTAAACTTTCTGCCACTAGAAGCATTTTTTGAGACATCAGAAAGGCAGTTGCTGGCAGGAGTCCAGAGAACCCCAGAGCAATCGCATCCCATCACTCCATACAGGAACCTATAATTCAATAAAGTTCCATCCTATGTTTTGTCAATATTTCTTTGATTTGCTGGTAGGTTGAATAGCCACTGGACTAATACTAAAGCAGTTCAAGTGACAGCATCCTTTCAAATATTATACAGTGTACCCTGAAAATGGTACAAATTTGGTATTGCAACAACCAAGACGAACTATTTTGTGCACTGACATAAGCAAAGTAATTGACAATATCACATTTGGACAAGATAAATTTTGTATTATTACAAGTTGCACTGCTGTCCAGTTACTCGTTTGCATAAACACAAATATAGTAGTCTTTAATGGGCATCTTAAGACCGGCAAGTTATCTTGAGGTTATCTTGGGATGATTTCGGGGCTTGAGTGTCCCCGCGGCCCGGTCCTCGACCAGGCCTCCACCCCCAGGAAGCAGCCCGTGACAGCTGACTAACACCCAGGTACCTATTTTACTGCTAGGTAACAGGGGCATAGGGTGAAAGAAACTCTGCCCATCGTTTCTCGCCAGCGCCTGGGATCGAACCCAGGACCACAGGATCACAAGACCAGCGTGCTGTCCGCTCGGCCGACTGGCTCTCTGTAAGTGTCAGTTTAACTGATCAATACTGGCATCATAATCCTTCACACTAATGACTGCATTAAGAAAATCCCCAGGACATGGGAAATTGTTGGTGTGATATGAAAGCAGCAGCAACAGATTGTGTACATGTACTCTTGTACACATACACCTCTTGTACACCTCGTTTTAAATTATGCTTTGTGCTAAATGTATACAAGAGTACTGAAAATACCAGTACAAATATTTATTGACCTGTTGCATTGCATTATCAGAATTTCCAGGATTACCCAAACAATGCATGTAAACAATGGCTAGTAGATAGTACTGTCATGCTATTCAGCAAAATATGATTATTTTGACCAAAATACTATGCATTATAGTGACTTTGCATGAATGCAAAAATACAAATCTTATGTAAACTCGCCAACCCATTGTATCTTCTTGCAAATAAAATATAATTGCAATAGACAGCAAATCAAGTAAATATTTGGCAGTCTTGCTGGATTACATATTTCTGTATACTGTATATGCATGCTCCATAATATGCAATTATCACTGCCAACTCGTATCAATAACCATTTTATCCCCAAGAACCCCACATTTCTTGTCATCACCCAATCCACCAGTAGTTAAAACCCCACTACAATGGTCTGGAACATTGTCTACCACCTAATGCACCTGTTCGCCTAGCAATAAGTAGGTACCCAGGAGTTGCCTATCCTAACAATGAATTACAGTGCAGTATTAAAATTACCTGCATATCTATACAGTATAATATACTAAATACAAGTCATTCAATTAAATCTGAAATATCTGCATTGTTTGCAGTTACAGCTCGCCGAGGGGTATTTGTCAAAGTTAATGCCACGCCCTCAACCCCCTAACAGAAATGTAGAAACTTCATTTCAAGATAATATTTAAAGTTAAAATGTCAAAGAAACTTTCCACCCTCACCACTATGTAGTGCAGAAGTCATAAAAAATATGATTAATTAACCACATGCATATTTCTTTACTAGCTTTCCATACATCACTCCATACATGGGAAATTTTTTTGAAAAAGATTATGAACTTTTCCCCCCAAAAAAAAATAATTTTGTGATAGGTTTGACAAAATTTTAACTGCATCTCTTGTGTAGTTATCAAGGATAAAAATTAATGACAGTAAAAACAATGGGTTTTATTAATTTATGCGGCGGCAAAAGTTCACACAAAAGTGTAGCCAGTTTCCCTCTGGCCTGTGTACTTATTTTATTTTTTATAACTGTTGCTAACACACTCCAAGCGTTTCAGAAAAGCCTTTTTAGCTAATATAAATGTAATAGATACATTGTAAGAGGACAGGTAGAGAATATCCACTCTTACAACCCGCCCATCCTCTAACATCCCGGAAACTTTAATGCGACAAATATATTACCAAAAAAAAAAAAATAACCCTCAAGCAGGAAATATTTTTAATCACCACCAACGCCTTCGGAACACCAAACAGCCTCACCAAACCCATAAAATGACACCCTACAGCAAATCATTTTCAAGCCAGCTTATCCCTTGCCCCATCATGCTCGAATCCCGGCGCCATTTTCTCCACATAAAAGCCGTAGAGAGGGTGAATGTGGCGACCATGGGAGGAGGTGGGCGGCGGGCGCGGCGGGCCGGCAGGGACCAAGAGTGCCACCTTCTTGAGGCGGGAGTCTTGTGCAGCGCGCTAAAACTTCCCGCCCTATATTTTGGCGGGAGATTTAAGGTTGGCGCGCGAGGAGGACCCAAGCGACGCGGGAGCGCCGCCATCACCGGCCCGTCTCCCTCCACCCGGCCCAACCCTCGCCAAAAATCTTCAAAAATCCCCCCATCAAACCCATCCACCTCAACCCCTACCTCACTACCATGGCGTAGATAGCCACCGGGGCCATGAGGGTGAAATATCGGCGGTTAAATCCGCGCATACGGGGAGAAAAAGTGAGGAGAATACTCACAGGGTTGTCGGATGAGACCTTAAAGGAGTAACGGGTGGCGGGCTTGTGGAGCGCGGGTGGCGCGCGGGGTCCGGCCACCCCGCCAGTCTCCGCCACCAGCAACAAATTATATTCCTGTATTATTTACGCCATGTTCCCCTCTATGTTACTCAGTCTCGTTATTTTTAGAAATTAGTTGGATGCTCCTAATATATTTTTAAAATAAAGGGGTTTGGGTTGAGGGCGCGTAAAGCAGTTAAATAAATAATCGGTGGAGTCTGTCGTTATTCCGTGGATATTTTCAGCGTCAGGGTAGGAGGTCGGGGAAAAAATTGATTATGGTAATAATTCGTCTTTCTGAGCCTCGAAAATATATCTAAAAAATAGAATATATATTACAGTATTTTTGTATGTTTTTGTTGTATTTTAGTACGTCGTATATGCTGAGAAATAAATTATTCCATTTAATCCACGGAAAAACCGAAGTCTTCTCCACGATGCTCCAGAGATATATTTCGGCAATTTTCGGTGTTTTTCACTGAATTTTTTCCCGCCAAACTGTTCAGCACAAAATTGGCTAATATTTTAATTTACTTTCCTCAACTCTCCTACCTTAACATGAATGCAAAATGGCTTATTCTAACAAGGTCAATATTATTCCCTGGATAATGTTAATCAATGGTGTGCGTACATGGGATCGCCCGCCTGTCGACACCCAGCCGATATTTAAGTGCCAACCCAACGGTTACCCACTTTTAATTAGGCATAAAACTTCCACTATATAAATTTCACACAATGAATAAGGATTATCAAGACCAATATGTTGAGGCATCGGTCTGGCATTAAACTGGGGTGGCCAAGGTACAGAGCAATGGCGTCGTGGCCATAATATGAATTGAGAATAATTATAAAAATAGATATATATAAATATATATGCATTTTAATTGCTTGTATATCATTCTAGATTACATATCCTGTCAGTTGTGACATGATATGTTGAATAGTTAGGGGTAAATGCAAATTTAAAGAAAGGCGTATAAGAGATGAATTTAAGAAGTTACATAACAGTGACAAACAAAGAGATTATAATAATACATTATGCCAGTAGCTACACTGGCTGATCGTTTATTTTGATAATTATACAGGTCTAGCTAGCGTGTATAAACTCCGGTGCTGCACTTTCTTGGCTAAAAACTGTTTGCACATGTTGCTAGGTTTGCTCAAAGCCGGGCTCCTGGATGGATATTATACCCACGGCTATAAATATTATAATCTATAGCTGTAAATAGAAATGTCTGACTGCCTATCTATCTATCCGAGGGTGAATCTATCTCTATCTCTCTCTCTTCCCCCCCCCCTCTCTCCTCTATTCCATCTCCTTTCATTCTCCACCATCTCCCCCTCTCCTATCCTTTCCACCCTCCCTCCCACTCTTACCTCTCCCCTTTCTCCCCTCTCCACCTCTCTCCCAACACCTCTACACTCCTTCCTTCTCTCCCCAGCCCTCGTCCCTCATTAAAACCAATATTCATGGTTTTTATTTAAAACCATGAATATTGCCTGGATAGGGGGGGATTTAAGATGTTGATATTTCTTAAAGCATGACACTTGGGCAAACCCCGACTGGCCTATGACACTCCCATACCCCCCCTGTATCATGTGTGAAAGTTGGGTGAGTTTAGCCCCAAGCATCTGACCTATTATTTCAGACAGACATTTTATGTTATATCTATATCTATAAGGCACACTCAACTTGGGGTCTTGTGGCTGAGTGGACAGCGCTCGGGCGTCGCAGTCCTAAGGGCCCCGGGTTCAATTCCCAGCCGATGCAGAAACAAATGGGCAGTTGTTCTCACTCTGATGCTCCTGTTCACCTAGCAGTAAATAGATACCTGGAAGTTAGATAGCTGCTACGGGCTACTTCCTGGAGATGTTTGCGTGTCTTAGATATAATGTAGTAGAAATAATAGAGGAAAATAGATTGGTTAGAAAGGCGGGGTCTAAGAGCTAATTGCTCGATTCTGCAGACACAAATAGTAAATACATCCAGCTCCTCTAATTGCTTCTGTACTTCTCCCCCCCCCCCCCCCTCCCTGTATTACTTCTATTTCAGTCAGTATTTCTTCTGGTAGAGTCAGTTCTCTGAACAACAATGTGGATGTCTATACAGTATACCTAAGTCATAAAAGTATTTGTGTGTACGTCTGATACCATACTACTTGTGTAAAGGAGGAATTGTATATGTTTATCTCTCAGAATGTTCGGTAATATGTTTATTGTTTGTCATGTGTGTGTGTATATCACGAAAATAAACATATATGTTTATGTGTCTATATATGTATGAACACGTTGTACTGAACGAGGTGAGAATAGCTTGAGCTACCTCATCCCTTTGTGTGTATTTTACCTCAATAAACTTATTTCAATTTCAACAATATGGATCTAGGAACAGCTCTGGTTCCATTTGGGAATTTTTATTGAGTTCTTCTCACACTAACTTATTCTCCATGTGGCTTCCTTCTCTTTGTGTAGCCTCGTCACTTGAGCAATCATCATCTTCCCCACTAATGTGGATGGGTATAAGAGTTTAGTGTGATTCTCGGCTTTGGATTTTGTGATTCTCATACTGCTTCTCTGTTGCTCTCCGAATTATTCATTCGTCTTTGTTGGGGAAGGCAGCGTGTTTATATGTTTACGTTAGGCTTATATCTAGGTCCTGCCAAGGTCAAACTGCTCACTCACCCCAGGACGCAACCCCTACAACAGTTGACTAACAACCAGGTACCTCTTTACTGCTATTAGGTGAACAGAGACATTAGATTCATGGAAACGTGCCCAATCATTTCTGTCATGCCAGGGGTTCGAACCCAGGATTCCCGACCGTGAGTCGAGACGAACCCACATATACTGCCCCCCCCCTCTCCTTCTCTCCCCCCCTCCCCCTCCCCCCCCCCCCCCTCTCTCTCTCTCTCTCTCTCTCTCTCTCTCTCTCTCTCTCTCTCTCTCTCTCTCTCTCTCTCTCGTGTGTTAATAAGTGAAGTTAGAAGATTCAGAGGTACACCACAAGACTAGTCCCAGAACTGAGAGGTATGAGCTACGAGGAAAGGCTACAGGAGGTAAACCTTACGTCCCTGGAAGACAGAAAGGTAAGGGGAGACATGATAACCACCTACAAAATTCTCAGGGGAATTGACTGGGTGGAAAAAGACAAACTTTTTAGCACAGGCGGAACGCGAACAAGGGGACACAGGTGGAAACTTAGCACCCAAATGAGCCACAGAGACATTAGAAAGAATTAATTGGTTCAGTGTCAGAGTAATTAACAAATGGAATGCATTAGGCATTGGAGTTCAACCCCGCAAGCACAACTAGGTGAGTTCACACACAACTTAGGGCCTTAGGGCTGAGTAGACAGCGCTCGGAGTCGTATTCCTAAGGGCCAGGGTTCGATTCCCGGCCGAGGCGGAAAGAAATGGGCAGTTTCTTTCATCCTGATGCTCCTGTTCATCTAGCAGTAAATAGGTACCTGGGAATTAGACAGCTGCTACGGGCTGCTTTCTGAGGATATGAGTGCGTGTGTAAGAGAGAAATATATGAAGTAGATATAATAGAGCAAAAATAGATTGATTAGAAAAACGAGGTCCAAGAGCTAATAGCTCGATTTTGCAGACACAAATAGTAAACACACACACACACACACACACACACACACACACACACACACACAGGAATCTGTACATCAGTTGATTGACGGTTGAGAGGCGGGACCAAAGAGCCAGAGCTCAACCCCCGCAAACACAACTAGGTGAGTACAACTAGGTGAGTACACACAAAACTAAATGGGTAGAACACCTGGAGAGAAATTATATAATATCAGACAGACAGTATGGTTTTCGATTTGGAAGATCCTGTGTATCGAATTTACTCAGTTTCTATGATCGAGCAACAGAGATATTACAGGAAAGAGATGGTTGGGCTGAAATTAAGAGAGCTGTGAGAGTACTTACCAATCAGGGAAGAGTCATCAAGTTTCTGTGGATCCCCTCCCATGTTGGAATATGTTGGAATGAACGAGCAGATGTGCTGGCTGCTGAAGGCGCTGAAGGAGACCATATTGAATACTTCATACCCAAGACTCAACTACAAATTAGAGGTATTATCAGGCAACATCACCGTGACAAGGTAACTGAAGAAAGGAGGATAGAAGCACAAACCAGTGAATCTGTACGATGGTACAACATGGTTGCAGCTGGCAATCCCAGTCATTATGGCCGAAGAGGAGGAGGACGAGGGAGAGAATCAGTAATAGCGAGAATCCGTCTTGGATACAAATATCCATGGAGATTTGGAATGGAAACAACAGTTGATCAGCGAAGTTGCAGAATCTGTGGTGAGAGTGATGGACACCACCTTGACCACTATCTACGTGAATGTGAACACCTGAGAGACATTAGGAATATGTGTAGAATAATAAACCCCACATTGTTTGAGTTAGGAAAACACTATTTGTCAAATATTAATACTGTTCTTAAAAGATTTCCCCATTTTGCACCCGCAAGATAACGTAAGCTTTTAAGGGTTGATAGATGTTAATCTTCTTGTTTGAAGAGCTGTTCACTTGAGACAGTTAAGCAAGTCCCAGCTGTGTCTGGTTACAAGTGACAGGATGAACAACCCAGCGGGTTTTCTTCCTATTAAGGAGTGTTGTACATGCTGCTATGGCGGTATGTCCACTCACAAGATGAGTGGCGCTGCCCAATAAACTCGCCCCTAGGGGCAAAATTTAATAAAAAAAATAAATTTAATGGTTGGGTTGACTGCATCTATCTGGACCTAAAAATGGCTTTCGACATAGTTCCACATAAGAGATTGTTCTGGAAACTGGAAAATATTGGAGGGGTGACAGGTAAGCTTCTAACATGGATGAAAAATTTTCTGACTGAAAGAAAAATGAGGGCAGTGATCAGAGGCAATGTATCGGACTGGAGAAATGTCACAAGTGGAGTACCACAGGGTTCAGTTCTTGCACCAGTGATGTTTATTGTCTACATAAATGATCTATCAGTTGTTATACAAAATTATATGAACATGTTTGCTGATGATGCTAAGATAATAGGAAGGATAAGAAACTTAGATGATTGTCATGCCCTTCAAGATGACCTGGACAAAATAAGTATA